GGGAGGAAATCCGAACCCCTTGCAGGGGAGGAGAAATTCGGAGGTGGAGATCCTAGAGGAAGAGAACGACATGCCTCCTCTAGAGCCTCTTTCGAGGAAAGAGATGAGTATGGGATATAATAGAAGAGGGGCTGATTTTGGTGGGAGGAGAGAGGGATCTCATCGCCGAGGTGCTGAATTCGAAAGAATTCAGCGTCGAGGGGGGATTTTGAAGGAAGAAGAGAGGAACGTCATCATCGAGGTGCTGAATTTGAAGGTATTCAGCATCGAGGTGATGATGTTGAAGGGAGGAGAGTGAGTATGGAGAGGGATCTACATCAAAATCATTAAATAATTAGAATATGTTAAAAATTCATTAAATTAAACAAAACAGGCAACCTACATAAGAAATAATACAAAAACAACTTAACAATAATAATAAACCTGAGATATTGAAACATAGTAAAACTCAAAAGAATAGATAATATTTTGATAAACAAAAAAGCAATACTTATCCTATTTTATGAGCTGTCTTGAATATCCCTATAACATTAGCAAGTTCTGCCTCCAATTCATTTTTCTTCAACTAAAAAGGAAAAGTTAAAGTTAAATAAAATTTAAAAAGATATAAGGAGATTTTCACATAATAAGAGGTGAAATATTGGAATATCAACTAAATACAATAATTAGCATTACCTTAATATCACACCTTTTTTTTCAAAAAGAATATTTCACTGGGCCTTTTCTAACTAAAGGCATGATTTGAATATCAAGCTTTTGAAGATGCATGAATATTCTAATATTGATGATCAAAGAGTTCAATAAGCGTTTTCAAATTCTCTTTTTTGGAAAATAACTTATGCATCAAAATCATTAAATAATTAAAATATGTTAAAATTTAATAAATTAAACAAAAGACAACCTACATAAAAAAATAATACAAATACAACTTGGCAGTAATAATAAACCTGAAAGATTGTAACATGGCATCTATAGCAAGCATAGCTATTTTAAAAATATTATTTTTAATTGCTTTCTCCATAGATTCTTGGAAATGATCACAAAAATCAAAAAATATTTTATCAATAAAATTTACAAAAAATTTAGTAGAACAAAATGAATGATAAAAAAATGATCAGAGAAAGAAAACAAACTGCTACTACAACATCTAAAAATGCAATGAACTATATGAAAAAATAAGGAATTTGAAAAAACATAACATTAAGAAAAATGGATGTAAATAAAGGCAATTGAAAAAACAAGTATATCCTAAAGAAGACCAAAATCTAAAATGGAAATGACCTTATCATACAAATGATTTTAAATATTCTATGAAAATAAATTTAGTTGTATTTTAATTGGCCATTTCATCATCATTCACTTTATTTCAATTATCTATGAATCAACATTTTCTATTCACTCCAGCAAAGTTTTGCCTAAAGCACTAAATCTACTCTTCACAAACTATTTTAAAACAACTTTATCCATGTCACATTGTCAACCCCTTCACATTCTGAATCCTCAAATATAATACTCTTCTAATTGATATATTTTCTATCTTTTATTGCACATTCCTAAGTACACAAGTTTATTTTTAATAACCTTATCTTGAATAGATATCCATTATGTTAATACAATCATTTCTTAATTTATCCCACTCACGCTTTTCATAGATGCACCTTAATATTATTAGAGCTTTATTCCAATTATCTATAAATAAGCATTTTTTTATTCACTCCAACTGAGTGTTGCTTGAAGCATTAAATCTAGTCTTCACAAATTATTTTAAACAACTTCTATCTATGTTAAGGTCAACCCTTTCACATTCATAATCCTCAAATATAATTTATATACTTATCTAATGGGTGTATATTTTATATTTTATTGTACATATACTAAGTGTACAAGTTTATGTTCAATAACATTATATTTAATATATATCACTAATCATTTCTTAATTTATCCCTCTTAATGTTTTTCATGTACATACATTAACATTCTCATTTTTTTTCAAACTTCTTTTAATTATCAATACTTTTTTACTATTCAATAATCGAATCCCTACATCTTTAAACTTTTTATCACTTGGCTACATTATATTTCACTTTCCTTCTTCTTTAGAATTATATTTGCTATAAATAAAAATATTGAATATTTCTATTTTGCACACTATACTTGTTTCAAGATTTAAAATATTATTATTATCATCATTATCCTATAGTAAAATTCAATTTTTAACACATTCTAAAAGCATATTTATTTTTCATGAAGATTTTAAAAACCTTCTCACTCACATCACCAAACACCCTTTTAGTCTACCATCTATTTATTAAAAATCTTTAAACCTTCTCACTCCCATCACCAATCTCCCTTTTAGTCTATCATCTATTTATCGCATAATAAGTATGGTTCAATTAAAGAATATCAATTTGCCCCGCTAAGTAATAGGTCTTGAAAATTTAACAATATTGCACATTTCAAATTCAACCAGGTTATCCTAGAGCAATTAATTCTTTTCATTGTTTTCTTAATACTAAGATATACATTCATAACTACTTTTATATATTTATTGTTTAAATCCTTCTAAAATTATCATATAATCTTTATAAGAAAAACACTCTCTAAAAGAATTTGATCTATGATTTGGTGGCTCTAATTAGTAAAACTAGTTGACAATTATTATTCTTATCATTTTTTAAAGTATTTTAAGATCATAGACTATTGTGATATCAAATATAATTTCTCCCATTGCATTTCTATGCCTTAATCAATATCCATAATGAATTCTATCATAGTTTATCTTACTAGAATACCTATATTCATTTTAAGTCAAACAAAACTCTTTCTTCCTTAAGCATATACATATTAGTAATTCATCCAACTCTTCCCCAAACTAATATTTGAAAAAAAAATTCTAATAAAACATAAGTATAAGCACAAACCATATTATAATATTATTATGATAATTATCTTAAAAGAAATCACCATATCAATAATTTTATTCATTGAACAATTTTAAACTTCAAGGATCTATACAATACTATCATTGCTCAATTCTTATTATCAACCTTTCCACCATACAATAACTTCTAACTTTTGTTTCAATTTTTTACCATATCCATTTAGTTGATTGTAAATAAATAACATTTTCTTCCATTAATTGTGTACAACATTATAGCAACTCCTAAAAAAGTATGTCAATAACAATGATCATTTTAGGTCAAGCACATTCCAAACTAAAAGAATATGAACAAGATTAAAATCACTTCCTAATGAATATGAATAGGATTCATTATGGCTTAGATACTAAAAGCTAAAAACTATCTTTGCAATCTCAAATAAACCTATGACATTTCTTGCAAATCAAATAATAAAATTGTTTTTAAATTAACTCTTTAAGCACCAAGTTAACCTTTCTTAAATATTATATTTTAATGATTTAAAGTTTTAAATATATGACTCAATATAGTTAAAATGTCAAAGTTAATCAAAAAATGGGATCAAGTATTGTAAATCTATTGCATTAAATAAAAAAATATATAAATTAGAAAATAACTTCTAGAGTTAAAACCAATTTAAGTTATGAAAGCACAACCTAATTTGTATTGAGTTATAATAGATTCTCAAAAAAACATAAACCAAATGCTATAGAACTACAATTAGCTCAACTATGTCATATAGATTTGAGTATTAGGTGACAAAGATAGAATTCACTATGGAAGGATATGAAAGAAAAATAACAACATATAGTAAAAAATTATAATCACACAAAAAAGCAAAAAAATAGATCTGACACTTAATGCTACATACAAAAAGAATAATTGGAAGAGGATTCATAAAGTTGGTCAAAATAATAAAGGAGAAGCTATTGATTATGATTAATAATTCAAAATTATGGCAAGAATTCATTATCGTAGAGTAAAATATCACATCAAATAAATTCAAGAAATCAATACTTTTCTACACTATATCCATTAATATAGACTAAATAGTGAATAAATTAGATTAATAGAAATCATACTCAACAACCTACAAAGATCAACCTTTAAAGAGTAAACTATACATATCGCGTCAATCAATGTCAACAACTATCTCAGCTCCCATCAGGCTACTTGGTAGATTGCGACCCCTAGTTGAAGCACTATAAATAGAAAATAACTTCAAGAGTTAAAACCAATTTAAGTTATGAAAACAGCCTAATTTGTATTTAGTTTTAATAGATTTTCAAAAAAACATAAACCAAATGCTACATAACTACAATTAGCCCAACTATGTCATATAGATTTGAGTATTAGATGATATAGAGTTAACCAATAGGCAAAGATGATTGTGAAGAAATAAAATAAGTTAAAGTACTTATATGATAAATTAATAAAAATATAATAACACATGATTTTATATATTGGGCAAGCAAGTGTGTCTACACTAATATGCAAGAAGATAGAATCACTATGGAAAGATAATGAAAGAAAATAACAGCATATAGTATAAAATAAAAATAAAAATAAAAACAAAAAATAGACTTGACACTCAATGCTACCTACAAATAGAATAAAGAGAAGAGGTTTCATAAAATTGGTCAAAATAATAAAGAAAAAGCTAGTGATTTTGATTAATAATTCAAATTTATGATGAGAATTTATTATTGTAGAGTAAAATATCACATCAAATAAACTAAAGAAATCAGTACTTTCCTACACTAGGTCCATTAATATAGACTAAATAGTGAATAAATAAGATTAATAGAAATCATACTCAGCAACCTACAAAGATCTACCTCTAAAGAGCAAACTATACATATCGCGTCAATCAATGTCAACAACTATCTCAGCTCCCATCAGGCAACTTGGTTGATTGTGACCCCTAGTTGATGCACTAAACATAACTAATTGGCAACAAGAAGAGTAGGGAAGAACAATCGTATGCGTTCATGCTCCATTATGGAGGAGGCTAATAAAAGTTGCATGATGATCACTATCCCTTATTCAAGAATTGGAAATATATTACATTAAATAATGAAAATATAAAATAGAAAATAAATTCTAGAGTAAACAAATTAGGTTATGAAAACACAATCTTATTTGTATTAGCCTATAATTGATTATCATAAAAACATAAATCAAATACTATAGAACTACAATTAGCCCAACTATACATATAGATTTGAGTATTAGGCAACAAAGTGTCACCAATAGACAAAGTTGATTGTGAAGAAATAAAAAAGTTAAAAGTACTTATATGATACATTAATAAAAAATATAATAACAAATGATTTTATATATTGGGCAAGCAAGTTTGTCTAAAAATACACCACTATGCAAGAAGATAAAATCTTTATGGAAAGATTATGAAAGAAAAATAACAACATATAGTAAAAAATTAAAAAATAAAATTAAAAAAAAAAACATAAAATAGACTTGACACTTAATGTTGCATACAAAACGAACGTCATGCTTGTTTGCTTCAATGCACAAAAATCAACACTAATATGAATAGTATTGTCATGCTTTCTTGCTTACATTCATTGGCTTATCATTCTATTTGATTCATTTTTGTCACCTTGTTATTTATTTTGAATATCTATTGAAATCTGCATATCCAATCATAAAGAGAATTACAATATTACCACCTGCATTTGCAATGCTTTTTTAACAGAATCAGCTTTGTATTATCATGATAATGTTTTCTATTCAAAAACATAGTTTGTCTCAACCCTATTCCTACTTTGAGATCAGCCTTAATTCTTAAGCATTTATGATCTCTATGAAGAAACCTCGAATACTAATGTTAACTTAATAAAACCTGTTGGATTCATGCAATTGTAATAGGTTAATTATGTCACTTAAAAAGTATTAATAATAAACATAATAAAATGAATAAAAATAGGAATAATAAAAATAGAAAAAAAAATTAATTATTAAATATATGTTTCATAATTAATTCAAATTTTCATTAAGGAACAATAATTAGCATTCGACTAGCTACACAAAAAATATTTTCTTTATTTATATCAGCACAAGTAAAGTTGAATTCTGCCTACTAAATATCAAAATAATGTCAATAAAGCTCCAACACACTTTCCTATCTTAACTAATCTAGATATGACATGAAACAACTATATAGACATTCATAAGATGATGGACTAACATGTTTTATAATAAATCTCAATGAGCTCAAAGACATTATATACATCACATTAGTACAAAATCTTTGATGTTAATAAGAAATACCATCGAAGCAAAATAAACAAGATACATTAAAATCTTATGTTCTAATAAAACAACATAAAGTGACAAATAATGCTAAAAATTTCCTTCATGTTAATTTGGTATGCTAACTTCTTTTGGATTAAAAAACTTGCTTTAAGAAAAGAGCTCTTTAGAACAAGCAAAATATATTAAAGCATATAGCCATATTAAAAATGAAAATATATGCCCAACAAAATGAACACCTACTTTTTTTAAGTACCTTGAAAAATGAGTTAAAACAATAATATTGGATGCTTGTCCAATTATGGAAGAAACTTATACTTCGCTTGAGGTATAGACTCAATGCATTCACGGTATTTAAAAATAAAAAAAGCATAAGCTTCTTAAACTTTAAAAGCTTCAAACTTAAGTGAAAAGTGTGAGCTTCAAAGGTCAAAGCAAAAGCTCCAATCGCATTAACATTCAAGCTCATAGCTTCAAATTATTTTAGAAGAGCTTCAATGGGATGAAAAAAAATAAGTATTAGAGTGATTGTTCTTAAAAAAAAAACCCCACCCATTAAAAAGCATCAGCTAAAGTTGCAAGAAACTTATGTATTTATGGCATCTTGTTTGCATGAATCGGTATAAGTATTATTGTAGTATCTCTAAACATTCCTAAAGAATTCTTGAGACTAGGTGGCTACCTTCCATAGACTTCTTCTATCAAATAATATCTGCAAGTACATAACATAAGGAAATACATGATAAAAAATATAAATAACATCTTATCATAACTATGAGGACACAAACCTAATCAACAAAGAAATAGGCATACACATCAGGCTGAAACTAATGAAAAAAGTAGAGCAAGAGAACAACATCAATTTTTCAAATAATGAAGAAATATTTTTAGATAAGCAAATATGCTAAACACCATTTACTAAAAGATTTTTTACCTCTAATCCAAACAAGTAAAAAGTGTGAAAATCCATAACATTATATGCTATGAATGCGTCTTAATAAAAATCTGGTAGCAAAATCCATCGCAGGAACATACCTTCTTATGAGCAACAAAATCACCATATTGTAAAGCAAATGTATCACAGCTTTTCTCATATAGGTCCATCACATCATCAGATAAAGGAGAACCCGAACCAATAATTGGAACATCAATAAACCCCAAAAGATGCAGCTGCTGGCAAAGGGAAGCTAAACCATAGACAAAGTGGGCTACATATTTTTGGTTGAGACAATCAATACAATTTGAACGAAGTAAACCATTTTGAAGCATAGATTTTTTTCCAAAAAATAAGTTTATTCCACAATGCTTTCTAATGTCTCTCTCGTAGAGAAAGAAGATTTCCCCTTGTTAACTTTCTAGCACCGATCTCCAATGATGATAGAAACACAATATTTTCTATAATTATTTATTGATCGATAGCAACCATCTCCACTCTTGTGACGCATGATCTCTAAGACCAAGACTTCATTAGAACATTAAATTCATTGTCCCTAATCTCGCAAAGCTTAAAATGTGAAGTAGACTAAAAAAAATTATATTTTTCTCCTCAATAAATGATACTTTTATCATCTTCACGAAGCTGACAAAAACCTCAAAGATATGCCAGAGTAGTCACTAGTCATGCCAGCTCTATCACTTTCTAGTATGCAAAACTTTATAACGTAAAATGCAGCAAAATATGTGTTCATACATCACAAAAAATTATTAAGTAAACGTAGATAAGTGTAGAGCTTTCAATACCCCATCTTTAGATATATCATTGCAAAATTGTGTTGTGCTTAAACAGTTCAAGCATGCATAAATATATGCTCCAAAGAATAAGAGATTGCTTTTCTTGTTCACAACGGCATTGAAAAAATCATGAAATTACAAGATATTCCTATAATATCAATTATAATTAAAAAACAACTTTTATTGAAAAGTAATTTGCAACCTTCAACAACTTGAGGTGTCCAGACAAAGATATGCCAAAAAAAATGATTACCATATGCAATTGTAGAACAGGATGGATTACGCATTATGAAATAAATTGAGGAATTCTAAAATAAAAAAGCATAAAACAACTATCAACAAAAAAAGTGTTAAATAATTACCCATAGCCTTGAGAGATTAAATTTGATGTTCTAATAAGTCTTATAGCCATCAAAGATCCCAAAGAAGTGTGATGGAAAAGATGTTCCTCATACCATGATATGCTGGGAAGCATCTAGAAATTAGAAAAAAATTAGAAACAAAGTAATCATTTAAATGCAAAGAATTAAGAAACCAAGAAGAATTAATGCATGTGTATAAAATTCTTGTATAATTATTTAGTATTTTTATTTTCTTGGATAGTACGCAGTATGTTTTTTATGTCGTACTAACATGAATTAAGGTCGTTGTATGAGAAAGGGAAAATAGCAAGATCTTCTAAATATAGAGAAACAACTTATAAAAATAAAGTCAAGCTAAATGCATAAGAAAATACATATCAGCTTATTCAAATCAGTTCGTACTAAAATGTATCCTAGATAAGCATAATTTTCATTCACCAAAGAATAGAGCAAAAAGACAACACTCTCATAGGCCAAAAATCTATAAATGAGACAAGAGTTAGTAACTTAATAAATCAATTAGTTATTACTAAAAAGAAATTCTTGAAAGCACCAGTAATAATTCAACATCATTTTATCAAAGCTTAATACATAAAGGTTAGCATGCATTGTTATATGACTTTAAGTACAACAAAACAATTAAGTAATGTGAGGACTGAGGGTTTAAGTACATCATTTCATCAAGTTTAATAAAAAATGGTTAACATGTAATGTTATATATGACTTTAAGTACAACAAAAACAATTAAGTAATAGGAGGACGGAGAGTTAGGGAGAAAACCCCAAACCTAGGCCCGGCCCACCTTGATTTCTCACCGCAGCCACACTAAGGTTTCCAGTGTGATTTGAGCGTGCGTTAACCCTTCGGCTTCGAGACCTTCGGCGAGCACTGAAAGAGTTTGGGAGAAAACCCTAACCCAAGGCCCCACCCACCTTCGATTTCTCACCGCAGCCACACCATCGTTTGTGGCGTGATTTGAGCGCAGAGAGAAAGAGCGAGACACTTCTTTGATTCCTTGGCCTTCCGCCTAAACCCTTCGGCTTTGAGACCTTCGACGATGACACAGAGTTTGAGAGAAAACCCCAACCCTAGGCCCCACCCACCTTCGATTCCTCACCGCAGCCACACCATCGTTTCCGCCATGATTTGAGCGGAGAGAGAAAGACCGAATCGCTTCTTTGATTACTTGGCATGGCCTAAACCCTTCAAGAAGAAAGGAAAGAAAGAGAGTCCGTTTGTTCGTCTCAGTCGCACTCTTAAATTAGTTTGTCCTAAATGCCCTTATAGCCGTTACTTACATCTACAATATTCCAATATGCTGAAAAAATAAAAATTATTTTTTACATTTCCCAAAAAAAATATCTTCTGCTATACATTTTAATAAGTGAACTATTAATTAGATAAATAATAAATTAATATGAATTCATATTTTAGAATTCTAAATTAAAAAAGAAATTTTTATTTAATTATTGAATTCAATGTTATATGTGTAAATATATAATAAAAGAGTTTGGATTAACATCATTAAATATAAATAAGAAAGATATTAATCCCCATAAATTTTTTTAATGGATTGATTTATAGACTATTTAATTAATCTCCGTTGATAAAATATTCTTTTGATTTTGATATAGAAATAATATAATAAGAAAAAGAAGTAATGAGGAAAATTTTGAAGATAATTTAAGAGAGTTTACTAAAAAATTAAGATCTCATCTAAAGAATTAATGATATATACAGGGGCGGAGTCAGGATTTTGTTCATGTGAGGGCACAAAATATTGAAGTTAAAAAAAACCCTCAACCTTTTTCATCCGGGCTTGGGACCGGCATTGGCGGTTTTAAAATTTTTTTTTTAAAACATTAGATTCATTATAAAAACATAAAATATATAGTAAAGCAAAAAACTTACAATTGAGGACATGGTGTTGATATTCTTCTTCTATGTTATCTATAATTTCTCCCGTCGAGTCTTCATTTTTTGAAATCGTTGTACAATCAAGTCATTGTCAATACAACTAAAAATATCTTTTTCAATATAAGTAAGTAAACAGTCATTCATCCAGGAGTCTCCCATGCGATTGCGTAAACGATTCTTTATAATTTTCATTGCAGAAAAAGCCCGTTCAACTGTTGCTGTAGCAATTGGCAAAATCAGAGCAAGCTTTATAAGTGAGAACACCAAAGGAAATATATCATGCTTTCTTGTCTCAACTAATTTCTGAGCAAGTTTTCCAAGTCCTTTTAAATTCATAAATGCATCATTCGATCTCATATCAACAATAAAATTTTCTATTTGATTGTCTAGTATGATGAGATCCATTTCAAAGAAATCTGACGGATAAAATTTTGCAAGACGAAGCAATCGTTCTTTATCAAAATCTGAAAATGACTGATATGAATTCAAACATGCCACACATATAAGTAATTATGTATTAATTTCATCAAATCTATTGTTAAGCTCTTGAAGTTGCAAATACGCTTGATAATACTATACTCCAACCAAGCTTTGTGATCATCAAACCATGCAGGATTAAATTTGCGAAATCTATCACCAAATTGAGTACGCGGGAATTCATGATCACGCGGTTGATACGGTCCTTTTAACAAATAATGTCTCCTGATACTATCCCTCTCGTTATGATGATAATCTAAATTTTTTTTCCTCAATCCTGGATCGGCAGGGATATCCAAAAAATTAATTTCTACACGGGTATGTTTGCTTTGTGTATTGTCTTCTTCACATAATGTTTTGTAGTCATCTTCAACAACTTTTCTTTTGAAATACCTATCCATGCTAAATTAAATGAAAAAAAAAATATCAATTATAAAAAAAAAATATAAAACTTGCTTCAAGTTCAAGTATAATAATAAAACTTCAAACTTCAACCTGCTTGCACGGCAACCAAACTTCACATAATGTTTTGTAGTATATTATAAAGAAAAAAAACAATGGACAAAATTACATGAATAAAATTTCATGCAATAAAAAAATAATAGAGAAAATGCAAGAGATCAGAATACCTGCTTGCACGGCGGTTCTGAAACCAAACTTCAACCTTCTTGGCAAGAGCAAGCTTCTGTTTTTAAAGCTTGGCAAGAGCTTAGAGCAAGCTTCAAATCCGATGATTCAGCTGCTTGGCAAATTCAAGTTTTTGTTTCTTAAGCCATACACATCAAAAAAAATATTTTAGATGAGATAGTAATCTAACCGGGTTGAGGCAAGTAGGCAACGGGTGTTGTGTGACGTTGAACGGGTGGCCGGCGGCAGGATTCGAATTCCTCCGGTGCCGAGAAAAACCTGTGCTGTACTGCTCTGCGACGTTGAACGGGTGGCCGGCGGCGGGATTTGAATTCCTCCGGCGCTGAGAAAAACAGGGGTGTTGTACTGTTGTGCGACGTTGAACGGGTGGCCGGCGGCGAGATTCGAATTCCTCCGGCGACGAGAAAAACAGGGGTGTTGTGTGACGTTGAATGGGTGGCCGGCGGAGGGATTTGAATTCCTCCGGCGCTGAGAAAAACATGTCCTCGAATTTCTGCGGAGTAGGAATAGGGAAAGTCAGAATAAGAATAGGGAAAGGCGGAAGGCATGCGTTGAGAACCTGAGAGGAAATATTATTAATGTGTTACTCCTTACTATAACAACTTAATATTTATTTATTTAATGTTTTATAAATATTATTAATACTATGTTATTCCCAAAGTCAGCGGGGGCCACTGCCCCCATGGCCCCCACACTGCATCCGCCCATGGATATATACAATTAAATGTATAAATATTACATCATATGTTATAATCATTAAATAAAATTCTTAAATTAATGATGAAATCTAATATATATATATATATATAATAAGCTAAATCAAATCAAGTTTTTTAAAGCTTTTATAAAATGATCATGAAATCTAATATATATATATATATATATAATAAGCTAAATCAAATCAAGTTTTTTAAAGCTTTTATAAAATGATCATGATTAAGACATTTTGGTAGCATTGTGCTTTGCTTGAATAAAATTTAAAAAATTGAATTGAACCAATCTAATTTCGCTTGTCATGTTCGATAGTTAAAATATTAGTTCGATTATTTTGTTCTAGTTTTGAATTTCTTTGATTTAATATTTTTAGTTCTTTTTTTTTTAATTCCAAACTCGATCTATAAACCCTTATTGACATCCTACTAAATAGAATAAAATAAAAACCCCACAAAAATATATCATGATTAATGATGAACAAATTATTCAAACAAAGTCCACCTAAAAATTTAAATATCAGTGGTGATAATTTACAAACATTTATATTTGACCAAATTTTAACATTCAAGTTTATTTTATAACATTTATTATTAAAAAATTCTTCAAAAATTTTATGTAAATTTATTTTCTCCCCAAGTCTTGTTTTATGTGTTTTTATATTGTTAAAGAACCAACATCAAAAATTGAAATTAATTTTAGTTTTATCCCTATGAATTATTTCAATCGAACTTTTCATAAATAGTTGACTCTTCTTATTCAATTTATTTATTACTGATACATCATCTAAAATCGGCTTGACCGAGCATGAATCTCGATGCATATCTTAATTGAAACTTTCAAAATTAAATATAGGACCACATAAACTTAAATTTTAGCAAACTTATAGTCAAACTAAACATCTTGATGAGGCGAACCCGGCGTCACCAAAATTTCTCCAAATCAAGCCCAAATGGGCTCAAATTGATGACTTGAAACATATTTGAAAGCTTTCGAATATTAATTGGGCAATCAAATGATATCCAAATATGACATGCTTATATTCGAATCAAGCGAGTCGATGAAACGAATCTAATGAGCCCAAAAATTCTTAATTTTGATGTCGACATTAAGGCACTTAAAGACTTGACGAATGCTCTATGATTGAGGAAATCAATATTAGTCTGATGGAGCACTTCGAATTTTCTTCGTTTCTTCTCCATATTTACGGAGCATGCCACTCTAAAAATTGATAAATAGACATCCTCTCCCTACATAAAAGAGACCTTTGGGGGCTTGGACGTTAGGCTAGAGATTCAAGAGAGCTCTAAGGCATTAATCCTAGAATATCACTGCTGGTAAACCCTCTCTACTTGGTCACCGCCACCAAACTTTTAAAAGCAGATCGTCGATGAACGTCCAACTGGATGCCACCATCGGACCTTAGCTAGGTTATTGTCGCTGGACCTTTCCCCTATCATCGCCTCCGAACCTTGATCCAGCCTCCACCATCAGGTCTCCACTCTAACCTCCTACTAACTATGGTCCACAGACCACCGTCACCCAACTATAGTCCCTCCAACCTTCATCATCTATTGAATGCAATTTCTTAAACCTTTTTTACCCATCGATTATGGTCCCCCAACTTCTTTCATATGACATCAATCCATTTGACTTCAGTAGCCAAACTACAGTCGTCCCAACCTCCATCATTCAACTATGGTACCTCTGACCACTATCGCACAATAATAGTCCTTCTAATATTCATTATTTGTTAACTACAGTTCCTCTGATCTTCATTGCTTGCTAACTATCGTCGCACCAACCTCTTTAACCTAATAATGATCCCTCCGACCACCATCGCTTGACTATAGTCCCTTCGACCTTCGTCGCCCCACTATGATCCCTTTAATCTCTATCACTATTGCAATTAGGGAGCCCGAGCTTATGTTTTGATGATAACAAATATTATTAAACTTTATCTAGTTTCTTATATTTATTTTATTGCATATTTTTTGTGTGTACTAGCATTTCAGGTACAATATGCACCAAGCACCGCCAATAGATCAAGGCTCAAGATTGGATAATATAGGATTGATTTCTATAAGAGTCTGTATTTTTATCTTTCTTGAGTTAATATATTATAAAAGGTGTATGTTAGCATATCAATCGTACAAACACACATGGGAAATGAAAATTAATTATTTAATTTTTTTAATATCATACTATATGATTTGGATTATACTAAATGATATAAGTAATAGAAATTAAATAAAATATTTAAATTAAGTGAACTAAATTTTGAACTAATTGTACTATATGAATTGAAGCGTACAAGATTATCAGTTGTAATCACGAAATCCCATCGCCAGTCAAATTTAGGCAATATTTTAAAATTAACAAATTATTTTATTCGTATTGTACGCATATGTTTATATTGTATGATATTTATGAAAGTTCATTAGGGATGTTAGGCCCTTATGAACTAGCCCAAGATTAATTAAGAGAGAGGTGAAT